CTTTCAGCTCGTGTTCTGCTTCTTTCAGCTCGTGTTCTGCTTCTTTCTGCTCGTGTTCTGCTTCTTTCTGCTCGTGCTCTGCTTCTTTCAGCTCGTGCTCTGCGTCTTTCAGCTCGTGCTCTGCGTCTTTCAGCTCGTGCTCTGCGTCTTTTTGCTTTTAGCTCATGTTCTGCTTCTTTCAGCTCGTTTTACTTCTTTTTGCTTTTAGCTCATTTTCTGCTTCTTTCAGCTCGTCTTCTGCTTCTTTCAGCTCGTCTTCTGCTTCTTTTAGCTCGTCTTCTGCTTCTTTCAGCTTGTCTTCTGCTTCTTTCAGCTTGTCTTCTGCTTCTTTCAGCTCGTCTTCTGCTTCTTTATGCTTTTAGCTCGTCTTCTGCTTCTATTAGCATCTCAGTTTCCTCTTCTTGAGTAAGTTTCAACACTCAGCATCTACACTTGATTTTCACAGAAATTGCTCCTTCTCTAGTTTTAGCTGTTTTCTAAACTCTCTCTCCTTCAGGATTGCTAAAGCTGTGAGATCTGCTCCATCCAGCGCAGGGAGGAGAAGGGTTCCAGCAGGATGAAGTCCAAAGGAAAGGCTGTGAGACCCTCCAGGAGGTCCTGGTCTGACCCGGAGCCAGAGCAGGAACCTGACACAGAGCCGGGCTCCAGCGAGCAGGAGGGCTCCGAGGCCTCAGTCCAGATCGGTGGCTCCTGGAGGGGCTCTCTGAGGCGGCAGGGGGGAGGAGCGGGTAGAGGCCGGCGGCGCAGGCAGCAGCGCGGCTCTGGCACCAAGGAGCGCAGCGTCCGGCGCCTGGAGAGCAACGAGCGCGAGCGTCAGCGCATGCACAAACTCAACAACGCCTTCCAGGCTCTGCGGGAGGCTATCCCACATGTCAGAACAGACAGGAAGCTGTCCAAGATCGAGACCCTGACTCTGGCCAAGAACTACATCAAAGCTCTGACCACCATCGTCCTGGACATGTCAGGGGCCTGCCTGCCGGCCGGTGGGGAGCCCTCGGGGGCCAGCGCTGCTAGACTGCTTCAGTGCTACCAGCAGCACCTGCAGGAGGAGGGGGAGGATGATCTCACCCAGTACCTCACCCACATGCAGAGCTTTAACCAGGACAGCTAACAGTGAGACTGTGGGGGGATTGGAAACCAGCAGAGGTGCACCCCCTCCTCTAAACTAAAGCAACAGTCATGCAGCAGATACAGTATAAAGACTGCAGTGAAGCCTGTAGAGTGCTTTCAGAAGAAAACAAACTCTTTTTTTATTTCTTGTGTGTCTTAAGCTGGGGAAGTTCTTGTGTGACAAAGTGGGGAGTGGTGGCACAGAGGTTAGAGAGGTGGGCTTGTGATCCGAAGATCGCCGGTTCACGCCCCGGCCCCGACAACATCAAAATTGTGGGTGGGGTAGGTGAAACACCCACACTTGCCCCCAC